CTCTAAATAAAATATTAAAAAGGGCTGAGGATGTGGCTCAGAGGTTAAGCACCTCTGGGTTCAATCCCTAGTACTAAAAACAAAAAAATAAACTCTAACTTTTAAGACGGGGGTAAGCAAACTTCTTCCACAAAGGGCCAGGTGGACACATAGTTCCCATCACAACTGTGCTGAATGATGCATGAACAGATGAGCATGTCTGTGTTCCAAAAAAACTATATGAAATTCAAATAAATAATACCATTTTTTCATGTCATGAAATATTCCTTTGATGTTTTTTCAACCACTGAAAAATGTAAAGATCAGGAGCTGGGGTTGTGGCTCAAAGGTAGAGTACTTCCCTGGCATGTGAGGCACTGGGTTCAGTCCTCAGATCCACATAAAAATAAAATAAAGGTATTGTGTCCACCTACAACTAAAAAAATAAAAAATTTTAAAAAAACGTAAAAATCATTCATGGTTTGAGGGCCAAACATAGGTGGAGACCATATTTGGCCTTCAAGCTAATTTGTGTAATCCTGCTCTGAAAGTTTCTGATCTGAAGTGCTGGGCAAAAAACACCCCCTCTGACAAACATAATGTTTCTGCTAATGATGCATAACAGAAAATTCTTTTTCTTCTCCCCTTCCAAAATCTGACTTCTATGGAAAACAGGTGTTTTAGAGTTTTTTGCTTGTTTTTTTTTTTTTTTTTTTTTTTTTTTTTTTTTTTAGTACTAGGGATGGCACCCAGGGGCGCTCTACAAAAATTCTTTTTAAATTTTTATTTGGAATCAGGATCTTGCCAAACTACCCACCCAGGCTGGTCTCAAACTTTCAATCCCCCTGTCTCAGTCTTCCCAAGTTGCTGGGATTATCAGCACCTGCCATTGCGCCTGGCTGTACATGGGAATTTTTTTTTAAGCTTTGGTGATTGCTAGGCAGCCAGAACTGGGGCTGAAATTCATGTTAATAGTTATTCTTATTCCCCAATTACTTAGCACCAAACCTCAGTGCCCAGGAACTGTTCAACAAATACTTGTAGAACTGGACTGAATTAAATCATTTCTGGGGCCCTGGGTTGGAACGGGAGGGGTGATGGTAAAGGGGTTTCTCACTGCTGCATTAGGGCCTGATGAGGGAGAATGAGGCTCTGTGGACAGACGCCGAGGCCTTTGGGTCAACCTTTCGTTTGTTTGATTGATTAATTGACTGACTGATTCATCCATCCATTTATTTATATATTTATTTTATAGTGTTGGGGACTAAAACCAGGGGTACTCTACTATTGAGCTATATCCCTAACCACTTTTATTTTTGAGACAGAATCATGCCATGTTGCCCACTCTGGTCTCAAACTTGGGATCCTCGTAACTCAGCCTCCTTAGGATTACAGGTGTACACCACTGGGCCCAGCTTTAGAAAAGAGTTTTAATCAGTTAATCCAGAAAAATTCCATGAGTGCTGCTAGATGCAAGATACAAGGCTAAGCAGTGAAGGACATATTAAAGATCCCCAATCAAAGCAGGGAGGAAGCTGACTTAAGAGCAGAGAGAAGGGCTGGGGTTGTGGCTCAGGGATAGGGCACTTGCCTAGCACTTGTGAGGCACTGGGTTCAATCCTCGACACCACATGAAAACAAATAAATAAAGGTATTTAAAAAAAAAAAAAAAAGGTGGAGAGAGCTCCAGTGACAGGAATGGCCCTTAACATAAAGGAAGAGAAAGTATGTGTACTGGACTTTAAAAATAAGTAGGATTTGGAGGCAAAGATATATGTAGGAAAGAAAAAAGGAGAGATAAGAATAAAATGTTTAAGGGTAACACATTAGGAAGTAAATGTTTAAAAAGCAGATTAAGAAGCACGAAGAAAACCAGGAGAGCCAAGCTGCCACTGAAACCAACAGAAGAAAAGCATTTGAAGGAGTAAAGGTCTAATACTCTCAGCGTGACTATTGAGGGAAAAAATAAAAGGAGGTCAAAGCACAGAACAAATAGGAGCTCTCAGCAACTTTTTTCAGTGACAGAAGTGAGAGGCAGGCTGAGGGAATTGAACAAAACACAGTTCAAAAGGGATGATGGTAGGAAACTGGTTGCATAGTATTTAATGAGAACAGAGAAATGGATCCTCATTTTGTTTTTATTTTGTTTTTATTTTTATTTTTTTTAGTATTTATTTCTTAGTTTTCGGCGGACACAACATCTTTGTTGGTAATGTGGTGCTGGGGATCGAACCCAGACGAGCGCGCTACCGCCTGAGCCACATTCCCAGCCCGGATCCTCATTTTGTAATCAAAACAAAAATCACTCTATGAAAGATGCAGCTATCTTCTTAGAAACTTGCTTTAATATGAAACATTCTATCAGGCAACTGTTTCTTACATGGGTTAAGTTCTCATGCCCTTTGAAATCAAAGGGCTCAATTTTTGTGGTAAGATCAACCCTTTAAAAATGCTGTACCTATCATAAACAATTCAACAAGATATAACCAAGAATTCAAAAATCCTTTCTGGAAGATGACTTTTAAAACACACATCGAAACTTAACAAATGGGTAAGTATCCTATTCAACTCCTAAGCGCATTACTCTCTCTCCTTCTTTCCTTTTAAATTTTTATTTTGACACAGTTTCAGACTTACAGAAGACTAATGAAAAGGGTGAAATAAAAAATCCTTAAATATTTTAATCTTTCTTTTTTCATAGACAATTTGAGAAAAGCATTCCTTTAAAAATGAAGAAAAAAGAAAAGCATTCTTTGGCTGAACTTCCTGATTTTTGTTCTTTATAATGTGGATATTGCCAATAAATTTTGGCCATTTGGTTTAAAAACAGCTGGGGCTCAAGTAGCAAATATTGTCTACAATATGGTCCCAAATTGTAGAAAAGCAATACAATATAGCTCATTTAATAGAACTCCTGTTTAAAATGTACCGACCGGCTTCTTTGATCTGTAGGTAGGTATATTCCACTACCTATGCCTCATTCTCTCATTCCTCCCCTCCTGAGACTCTAGTTAGATACACAGTGAATCTTCTGACTCTTATCTTGTAAGTGTCTTATTCTTTTTTTTTTTTTTAAAGAGAGAGTGAGAGAGGAGAGAGAGAGAGAGAGAGAATCTTTTTTTTTAATATTTATTTTCAGTTCTCGGCGGACACAACATCTTTGTTGGTATGTGGTGCTGAGGATCGAACCCGGGCCGCACGCATGCCAGGCGAGCGCGCTACCGCTTGAGCCACATCCCCAGCCCCGTGTCTTATTCTTTCTTTTGTGATTTTTACCATTCTCTCTGTCTACACTGCATTCTAGATAATTTCTTTTGATGTAACTTCTAGTTCACTATTTCTATCTTCAGTTATGTCTAATATGCTGCTAAACTCACCCACTACATTTCATACAATCCTTCCCTTCCCTTCCCCTTCTCTTTCCTTTTATTTCTCAGTACTAGGGATTGAACCTAGGAGAGCTCTATCACTGAGCAACATCCCTAATCCTTTTTTTTTTTTTTTTTTTTGATACAGGGTATTGAACCTAGGGGCACTTAACCACTAAGTTACATCCCCAGCCCCTTTCTGTATTTTATTAGAGACAGGGTCTTGCTGAGTTGCTTAGAGCCTCTAAGGCCTCGCTAAGTTGCTGAGGCTGGCTTTAAGTTTATGACCCTCCTGCCTCAGCCTCCTGAGCCCCTGGGATTACAGGCATGTGCCACTGCACCAGGCTCCTAATCCTTTCTATCTTTTGTTTTGAAACAGGGTCTCCCTAAATTGCAGAGGTTGGCCCTGAATTTGTAACCCTCTTGGCTCAGCCTCCCAAGTCACTGGAATTATAGATATGTACTACCCCATCTGCCACCTGCCACAGTTCTAGCATTTCTATTTGGTTCTTTTTCAAAACTGCTATTATCATTTTTCTTTTTAGATTAGCTAGAGAAAAATATCCCAGTTTTGTTCAAGGAAATCAGGTTGATCTTCATGACTGAAGGTCAGAGAACTATAATTATGGGGTTTTAGCTTCAGAGAGAGGAAATAAAACATCAAAGGCAAGAAGAAATGGAGAGATAATTAGCATAATTTCATAAAATATAATTTTTAGAACTAATCAATCAATATGTACAATATATTTTCAAAGTAGGTTTACTTTATTGCTCAATAAGATGATTTACTTCATTGCTCAACATATGATTTTTGTCTGTTTTCTAGCAAAATTTAATCATTATATGTGTGAAATCGATAAAGGCAATTTACTTTTGAAAACAAAAAAGCTTATAAAGGAAGTGACATTTGCTTAGTGACTTGACTTATATAAGATTAAAATCTCAAGCCACAGACACATCAAGTAGTAAAAATGATACCATAGCTATAGGGAAAGTCAAAAGATATTAAGTTCAAATTGCTATTATTTATCCTGCTACCAGAGTGCAACAGAAATTTACTAATAAGACATTCAGTGAAAAACTTCCTGAAATTTTTGAGTTTTAAGGAAAAAAAAATCTAAAAAGCCAAGTGATTAAAAATTATTTTCAAGAAGAATATATAACATGGCTGAATATGAAATTAGATAATAAAAATCAGATAATAAAAATTTTTTCTTCCTCAAGTAAAATAACATACTTTTGTTTGTAATATTGGGAAAGGCCTCACATATGCTAGGTAAGCAGTGTACCACTCAGCTACATCCTCAGTCCAAAATAATATACTTTATAAGTGCTACTATTCCTTTGCAATTATTAGTATCTTTTTTCTGGCTAGCGATCAAACCCATGGCCTTGCTCATGCTAAGTGCTCTACCCAGCTACATCCCCAGCCTTCATTAATACCTTTTTTTAAAAAGTTATGAGACTCTTGGAATCTGGTCCAGCATAAAGAAGTTCAGAAGTCCCCGTTCCATTCTAATAACAAGTAAAAAGCTGAAAAGACTAAAAAAACAATAACTCTTTTTAGATCTTCAGAGAAATGAGGTCAAAGGATAAACTGCTGTCCCCAAAACTGAAAACACACACAGGAGGATACAATGAATCACAACTTACCACAGCAGAAAGGAGAAACTTCCAGAGTAGGAAACCCTAAAAAGCAATTGACACACTGCTGGATCCTGTGTGTGTGGACAAGTTTAATAGTAAAAAAAAAAAAAAAAACACTACAACAGAAATACACGGTAAAGCACTTGCCTAGCATGTGCACAAGATTCTGGGTTGAACTCCCAGTACTGCAAAACAAACAAACAAACAAACAAACAAACAAAACCTACAAAAAGCCTACAGCTAACATTATACTTAATGGTGAGAAACTTGTAGCTTCCTTGCTAACATCAGGAACAAAGCAAAGATGTTTCCTCTCACCAGTGCCTTGAAATCCTAGGTAAGCAGTAAAACAAGAAAAGGAAATAAAAGATATACAGATTGAGAAGGAAGTAATAAAACTGTCTTTATTTGCAGACAATGTGATTATCTGGGTAGAAAATTCAAAAGAATTAGACCCTCTTGAACTAACAAGTAATTATAGCAAGCTTGTGGGCTATAAGATCAATACACAACATTAAATCACTTTTCTTTCTTTTTTTAAATTTTTAATTGTTGATGGACCTTTACTTATTTATTAATTTATATGTGGTGCTGAGAATCGAACCTCACACATGCTAGGTAAGTGCTCTGCCACTGAGCCACAACTTCAGCCCTCAATCACTTTTCAGTGAACAAGTGGGGTTTACAATTAACAATAGTATCATTTACATTAGTATCTCAACAGTGAAGTATTCAAGTGTAAACCTAACCAAATATGTGCACCATCTACCTTAGAAAACTCTAACAAAACATATCAAAGAAGAACTAAATAGATATTTCATATTCATAGATAGGAAGACTGGATACTGTCAAGGTATTAGTTCTTCCCAACCTTATCTGCAGATTTAAAATAATCTCAATCGAAATCTCAGAAAGGTCATGTGCAGTCATGCAAACCTCTAATCACAGCTACTCAGAAAACTGAGGCAGGAGGATTGTAAATTTGAGGCCAGACTGGGGAACTCAGTGAGAAGTTGCCTTAAAATAAAAAACAGGGCTGGGGATGTAGCTCAGTGGTAGAACATACCTGGGTCCATCTACTCCCCAGTTCCATCCCCACCAAAAAAAAAAAAAAAAAACAACTCAGAAAGCTATATTATGGATATTGACAAAGTGATTCCTAAGTTTATATGGAAAGACAAAAGATCAGAACAGCCAATTCAATACTGAAAGAGAACAAAGTCAGAGGACTGATACTACCCAACTTTGAGACCAACTACAAAAGGACAATAATCAAGACAGTGTGGTATTCACAAAAGACACATAAATGCTTGGAACAGAATAGAGAGCTCCAAAAGGACCCACATCAGTTGACATGTAGTCAACTGATCTTGGACAAAGAAGCAAACATCATTTCTCTGCAGATCTAAAAAGATCAAAATAATCTTCTGTTTCTTTCTTTTTTTGAGGGGGGAGGGATACTATTGGGACTAAACCCAGGATCATTCTATTTTTCAGCTATAACCCCAGTCCTTTAAAATTTTTTTTTTTTTTTGTAGATGGACACAATACCTTTATCTGTTTATTTTGTGTGGTGCTGGGGATCGAAGCCAGTACCTCATGCATGCTAGGCATGTGCTCTACCACTGAGCCACAACCCTAGTCCCCAGTCCTTTTTATTTTATTTTTGAGACAGGATCTCAGAAGTTCTCCAGGGAAGCCTTGAACTTGCAAGTCTCCTGTCTCAGCCTCCCACAATAGCTAGGATTGCTGGCAATGTGCCACCATGCCCAGCAAAATTGTCTTTTCAACAAATGGTACTGGAACAAATGGATATCCACATGCAAAAATATAAATCCAAATAGCAACCTCACTCTCTTCTCAAAAATGAACTCAAAATAGATACAGACCCAAATTTAAATGCAAAACAATCAAACTCCTAGAAGATTACATAGAAGAACACTTAGACAACCCTAGATATGGCAATGACTTTTTAGATATAACAAATGATGAAAGAAAGAATTCATAAGCAGAACATCATTAAAAACTTATGCTCTGTGAAAGACAGTATCAAGAGAATAAGAAGTCAAGCTACAGACTGAGACAGGTCCTGCTATTCCTTTTTCATCCTTCCCCTTCACCACATCTCCTTACAGAAATGTGTCTTTAAAAAGACACAGGGGATAGAGGACTGTTATCTCCAAAACACAAAAAACTGTTTCAAGAAAACAACTGATTATAAAGTAGCTCAAAGATCTGAACAAATACTTCACTAAAGCTGAAATACAAGATGGCAAATATGTATATGAAAAGATGTTCAACATCATCATTAGAGAATTCAAGTTAAAAAATAATGAGATACCACTATAAACCTATCAAAATGACCAAAACCCAAAACAATGACTATACCAAATGCTGGCAAGGATATGGAGACACAGGAACTCTCAATCATTGCTGGTGGGAATGCAAAACAGTACTACAGCCACTGTGGAAGACAATTTGGCAGCTTTTTAAAAAAACTAAACATACTTTTACCATTTGATTCAAAAATTACACTCCTTAGTATTTATTTATCCAAAGGAAATAAAAACATATCTGTACAAAAGCAGCACAGAAATATATATGGCTTTATTCATAATTGCCAAACTTTGGAAGCAACCAAGATGTCATTCAATAGGTAAACAGGGCGAGGGTTGTAGCTCAGAGGAAGGGTGCTCATGAGGCACTGGGTTCGATCCTTAGCACCACATAAAAATAAAGGTATTATGTCCACCTACAACTAAAATATAAATGTTAAAAAAATAGGTAAGTTAATAAATAAACTGTTTCATCCAGACAATGAAATACTATTCAGCACTAAAAGAAATTAGCTATTAAGCTATAAAAAAGTATGCAGGAAACATAAATGTATAAATAATAAACACATACAATCATGTAAAAGAAGTCAATCTGAAAAGGTTACATACTGTAGGATTCCAACTATCTGATATTTTGGAAAAGGCTAAATTATGGAGGTAGTAAAAAGGTCAGTGGTTGACAGGGGCTGAAGGAGAGGGAGGATACACAGGCAGAACAGAGGATTTTTAGGGAAGTGAAACTGCTCTACATGGTACAACAGTGGTAGACACAAGCCACTTATACATTCGTCCAAATTCACAGAACGTATAATACTAAGAGTGAATCCAAATGTAAACTATGGACTTGGGGTGATAATGATGTGTCAATGTAGGTTCACCAAGGGTGACAAATGTACCACTGTGGGGCAGCAGGGGATGCTGTGCATGTGCACAGATGGAGTATAGGAGGACACTGTTTTGCTCAATTTTGCTGTGAACTTAAAACTACTCTAAAGTCTATTAAATACTTTTTTAAATGGCTACATAGTTCTAAATCTTACCTCTTTTCTCTCTTCCCTAGAAAAAGTAAAAATTAATTTTTTTTCAACACTTCAAAACCAAATATTCACTCAAAACAAGCCCCTCTACACTGAGCGCTTAAAAACTTAATTATGTCTTTGTTAGTCTTTTGAGAGACTGACTAAAAAATTGCAAAGTCAGTAATATGGCGGGGGCATTTTTCTACTTTCTGACCTTGGTAGTACTTGTGTTGTTTATGATTATTTGTTAAACAGGGCATACATGCTTTATGGATATATTTTTTCAACAAAAATAATAAATAGTATGTTTTTTTAAAAAAACAAACTCCCTTGTACAAAAAATTCTCTAAATTGAACAAAACAAAGATCTCATTTAAATCAATTCTTTCTTTGAAATATTTTTTTAGTTGTTGATGGACCTTTATTTTTATTCATTTATTTATAATTGGTGCTGAGACTCAAACCGAGTACATGATTGGTAAATGCTCTACCACTGAACGACAAACCCAGCCCTTACATTTATTCTTCATGAACAATGCAAAATATCAATGCAAAAAATAACTGGTTCATTGAAAAGATGAACACAAAACTGACAAAACTTTGGCTAAATTAATCAGAAAAAAATGACAGAAGATTCCCATCCCCCAACACCTCCAAAAAAAGATTAGGGATGAAAAAGGAGACTTTACAACAAACAACATTGAAATTCAAAGGATCGTTAAGGAATATTTTGAAAAACTATATGGCAACAAATTGGAAAATCCAGGATAAGTGGACAAATTTCTGGGCACATGTGACTTATCAAAACCAAGAGGATATAAAAACTCTAAATAGATGAATAATAAGTAATAAGATTGAAGCAGTAAGAAAGAGACTTCTAATAGCTAAGCACACACAAAAGAAAAAGTTCCAGGTCCACCTAGGCAACTGAACAAGACCTTATCTCAAACTAAAAACTGAAAAGGGATGGGGATGTAGCTCAGTGTAGAGCACCCATAGCTTCCACTCTAGTACTAAAGGGAAAAAAAAGTCTCCCAACAAAGAAAAGCACAAGTCTGGATGGATTTACTCCTGAATCTTACCAGACTTTTAAAGAACTAACACAAATGCCCCTCAAACTATTCCATAAATTAGAAAGGGAGAAAACACTTCCAAACTCATTCAATGCAGCTATCATTATCCTGCTACCAAAATCTGGTAAGGACACAACCAAAATTAAAAACTACTGACCAGTATCCATGGTGCAAAATGCATGCAAAAAACACTAAGGGGGAAAAAACTGAATTAAATACTTGCATTTCGGGGGCCGAGGCTGTGGCTCAGTGGTAGAGCGCTCGCCTAGCACGTGTGAGGCCCTGGGTTCGATCCTCAGCACCACATAAAAATAAATAAAATACAGATATTGTGTCTAGTTACAACTAAAAAATAAATTTAAAAAATACTTGCATTTCAATAGCACATTAAAAAGATCATAAATCATGATAAAGTTGGTTTCATTCCAGGGTTACAAAAATGGTTCAACATATACAAATCAATAAAGGTAACATAATTCATAAATAAATTCAAGGATAAAAATCCCATGATCCTCTCAATAGACATGGGAAAAGCCTTTGATAAAATTCAACATCCCTTCATGATAAAAGCCCTGAATAATATAGGTACAGAAGGATCATACCTCAACATAATAAAGGCTATATATGATGAACTTAACAGGGAAAAATGAAAAGTGTTTACTGTAAGATCAGGAACAAGACAAGGGTGTCTATTCTCATCAATTAACATACAAAAATCTATAGCTGCTGCTGCTGCTTCTTCTTTTTTATTTTTTGGTAGTACTGGGGACTGAACCCAGGACTTCACACATGCTAGGCATAGGCTACATCCCCAGCCCTCTCTTTATTTTAAGAGAGGGTCTCACTAAGTTATCCAGGCTGGCCTTGAACTTGTAATCCTCCAGCTTCAGCCTCCTGAATTGCTG